ATATTTCGGATCCCTTTAATCTCCGTGAATAAAGATTCTGCGTGTCAGTATACCCTCCATATTATACTTCTCTCGTGGTTTTAGTTCACAATTATGTTTAGAAATAATTACATACACACGTATGCGTACGCATATGATTCGTGCATTGTAGATTACAATTATATTTTCCGATGCATTCGATTTTTACTTATTGTTACTTGTGATTGATGAAAGTTGAAGAGGAATCTTTTCCAAATTTTTCGCATCCCCGCAATACGATCCGTGTACTTTCATGACGAAGCTGACCGTTCGATTAATTTAATAGAGAAATACATACACGTAGTATCGTTAGACGCATTTTTCAATAGCGAATACAATTCGTTCATCTCGCTTTCGTATGAACGTTTGCCTAAATTTCTAGCAGAAACGATGCAGCCCGATTGTACAATTCACATGTTATTCTCGATATGTATAATACACAGTTAATAAATGATCAGATTTTAAAATGTCGGCATTAACAGGTTGAAACATTAATCACACTTACTCGAAATCAGTTTATTACATTGTTAGTTCATCTCAATTTGTTTAAAATAAAAATGATTCCCTTTCATGTCTCGCTCTTTGCTCAGAATTTAGCGTTAACACAAAATGAAACCGTAAGTCGTGAGAAGTATTCGCGAATCATATTACACAATAACATTGGAGTTTTTTAATAAAACGTTGCAAAATACAAGATTTCTAATCGCATTACCACTTGCAGTAACCATGCCTCGTTTCAAACATGAAAGAACCCGTTCTTTAATCATCTAATCGCGAGATCAATCGCGCACGATTCTAATAAACCATTGTCGCTTCCGAAGATTAGTCCAACGCATAATTACTATGTCAAACCTGTTATTTAATCTCCTAATAACCGAGAAACAATTACAACGACGTTCTTAAAACGATAAACTAATAGTACCATTAATTTGTTTAACTTGCTGGTTGGCAGTTGTTGCGGAATATCGCCTGGACAAAATACGTACACATATAATTGTCTCGGTTTTTCCCTGTAGAATCGGCGAAACGATCGCGAAAATTGGTATATGCGACACATCAACACAAACATGATAATTAGAGTATATAAGTACACATACATCGAGTTACAATTACAGTTACACTTTCTTCATAATGTTCGCACGATAAACGTAAGCTGCGCGTTGAGAAGTACCTCGCTAAAACAATCGCTAAATAATACATTGTTGTCAATTTATTAACTACATATCAACTTGTCGCCCTATTTAATGATAAATATTAATAATCACGCACACGACCCTCGAAGCTGCGGTTCACGCGACTCTCCCCAGCACGTAGAGAATTACGTTGGTTTTTTTATACAATAATCTGAAACGATTAGTCAAGCTGGGGCAATTCCTTTCGTTGTTAGAAGCTGGTCAAGGGAAAGGAGATGTGATATTTATTTAATTAATACAGTTTACCGTTTTACCGCTGGTTCGTTTTGGTATTTTCTTTATTAGGAATACAGTCGTGCGACCGTTACACAATTCTATTTTGCAGGAAAGAGTCACGCGTTCTACCTATAGAGATTTCACAAATACGTACAACATATTATCTTTATTAAGTGCTACGCGATTCTGCATCAATTCATCAGTTCCCATGTTTGTTCGCATCAAGTTCATGTATGAGTATTTCTCACAAACTGATGCATCCCATTCAAACGATTTTGTCTCTTTCGTCCGTTTACCAAGGATTTTGTGGAAATCAACAATCGAATTTTTAGATGATAACGTGCATCACAATGCACAAAGAAAAGATATACTTTCATTTTGGATTTTCTCTGTTTAATTTTGATTTTAACAAAATCCTTGTAATACAAAATGAGAATCGCCTGGTGATGAATGCCAGTGTCAATTGTATCTCTCTCTTTTTTTAAACACCAACGAATGCCCTCGATGACACTGTATTTGCTACGTCGAGAAAATTACATTATCACATTGCTCTCGGTTTGTGAATAAATATATTTATAGTTTGATTGTTCTACTATCTTATTATAATTTAAATTATTAGGTACTCGATAGAAATTATCATGTGTTTTATATAAATTCATAAAAGAATAAGAGCCTCTGATAACAAGAATATCATAAAGATCTTCTCGGTTTTGAGAGTAAGGAAAGAAACGAAAAAAAGAATGAACAACACTCTTTTTTATAAAACATTTTTCTATGATTTATAATTATATTCAAACACTCGTCTACAACATTTTAATTGTCTTCTACATAATAAAATAAGCTGCACTACATATACACAGAATAAATTTATAATGGATACAACGAAGGAAATCCATTCTAATACTAACTGAGGATCTATTTCTTTTCTGCTTATACAAAATACATACATGATGTAAGTTTATTACATTCATTAGCTAACAGATTGTCCAACTGAAATACTTTTAAATTATATGGCAGATATAATATTGTTACAATACACAAACATGAAGAATACTTTCTTTTGTAAGTTCAAAGATTTTCACTTAAAAGACAATAGATTTCATATAAATATGTTGTTTTTTTGATCTCATAAATGTGATTATTAGATTATAAAGTATTATTTAGTTAAATAAA